TGAAAGGAGACTGCGACCACACAAAAGGTCACACCATCCTGGTCTTTATACCTTCGTTTAATTATGAAGATTTGTCTAGCACATTTTCACCCTAAGAGCTGAGTTTTTGTCTTCCTAAAGTTGCAAAAATTATTCGGAGAAGAAATTCTTTAGCAAAATTCACAGAACTCGAAGCCTATCCTAGGTGTCAGCTGTATTTTTACTTACTGGTTTTTGGTACACTGTAACTCCTTAAGTCTGACTTGAATTATAGGGTCTGTTGTGTCAATATCTTAGACAAATCTTTATTTAGCATTTGATTATGATATGCATTATACTTCCCGAAGTTGCCTAAGAGTTTCTTTCATTAGCCTATCGTTATACTTATGAGTGTCTGCAACTACTGGAACTATACCTAGTTTATTATAAACATTATTCATTCAGATATTGTATCATTTCAGGATCAGTTACAATGGCCTCATTATCGGCTTATAATCCAACTTCCAGGTTCTCACCAACATATAACTGCAAAGAGTAATGGGGTTTCGATGAATCTCCTCAGATAACATTGTTAAGGGGACTTTCATTTCGTATGAAAATGTATGAAGAACATATTCCTAGGTCTATCTCACAAGAAGAGGATGGCTTCATCCCGTTATACATCATCGGAGCTGGAACTAATTCTTGTAAAACAACAACAATCTTACTAACATAGCATAACTGTTCTTAATTAATTATTTCTTCGGTTCTAAGATAAATCATTCATCTGGTTAAGCTCATTCTCATAGTTTTTAAAAAAAATTTCCTTTGAACCTATGTATAGTCGAGAAAGTAGCCCATTGGAGTCGAGTTCCAGCCTTTTCAAGCCACCGTCTGGTCTTCAACTGCAGGCCTCTGCGGGATGTATCACGAACACAATTGGCGGAAACCAGATTCACTTGACTTCTCTCACAGGTTCTTCGACAGCCTCGGCTACGCAGATAAATTCTGGATTAATGAATACTGCTGCAGCATCAATTACAACTTCTGTATTTACTACCACGACTACTACTACTCCCTCTGTCGCCTCCACTAATCCCGTCTTCCCTTCCTGCTCATCCGCCTCATCCAGTTGTTCTTTATACTCTTACTATAGTTCCAATGCCTCCTCCTCATCCTCCTCATCATCTTCATCGTCAACACATTCCTCTCAGTCTTCCAGCTCCGCATATTTCTCTGGTGCCTCGTCTTCATCTGCAGCCGTTTCTCCTCTTGCCGGAGCCTTCTCCTCATTGCCTTCAGCTGCCTTGCCAGCTGGTGGAAAGCTGCATCATGGCTCTCTTGCTGGGTCTAATAGTGGAAGCACTGGAAGCAATGGCAATGGGGCTAGCAACATTGTGACTAGTCTACCTGGATCTATTTCAGCCTTGGGCGGATTAGCAGATGGCTCTGTAAAGCTTGGTTCATCTGGGCTCGGTTCACCTCCTTCGACTCCGTTGAGCGTAGATATGAGTCTTGTAAAATCTATCGAAGTATGTTTATATATTAAATATAATGAGATTTTCGTAGACCATATCTTGTCCTGGTCGATGCGTTTTAGCCTTATTTAATTTCATACCTTGACGAGCATTATTCAAATCACTATTGTATATTATTTTTTCATGGCTTTTAAACAACTATATCGCATACAGATTTTCCCTGACCTAATTTTTTCATCATGGTCCTATTGCCAATTGAACCTCGAAGAACATACCACATTCTTTTTTCTCCGTAATAGTATTTTAAATTGCTTTTAGCACCTTACCTTTGAAATCATATATCCATGAACCTCTAGTCGGTCTAGATAGTCTCTTGGCAATTTTTAGCGCCGAGCAATGCTGCAAATGAGGTCCATCCATTGATCAATTTTATGCTGATCTGTTGTTACATTTCTCCCTTTGCTGGTGCATTTACTTACTCGATAAAGTTTTAGCTTCGTATCACAGCGTCTATCTTGTTTATTCTGATCTATCCAGAGGTATTTTATTTTGAGCGGGCTTACTGAAGCTTAATTACATTGTTAGGGGGACTTTCACTTCGAATGAAAGTGAATGAAGAAGAGATTCGTTGGTTGATCTCACCAGATAAGGACGGATGAAACTCGTTGTACTGCAGCCGTTTGGC